TTTTTTTAATTGGGAAAGTTAGTGTTGCACGGTTGTTCTTGTTCTTTGGATATGTGGGCAGCAAGCATAAGCAGATCATCGAGATGTGCGCCCTCGCGGCTCACAAACCGTGAGCTCACGCTTCGGCCAGTGCTCACCATCTCGTTGTGTACACTTCCGACACGAGCCCTGCCGTTCATGCACCAAAAGTTTTGATAGTGTACAATCTTTTAGCTTGCCTTCTTGAAGAAGTTTTTCGGAGGAGGCGTGATCATTGATCACCGATCGACGGACAGTCAATGACCTTTAAAATTAAACCTCGAATGGAGCTCTGATTGAGTGCGACGTATCAAGATGGAGATTGTGTGAGTCGAGCCTTTGGATAGTAGTTACTGATTGTGTTGTTTATCTCGTTCTCAGTCGTGCAGGCTCGAGCCTTTCTGGATACCTATCGAAGTGCTTCATGTTTCAAAATACTTCGAGTACCAAGGTGCTAGTACAGCTTTGGCCGGCGCTGCGTGGAATAATTTGAAAGCAGACGTAAATATATATTGCGTGAATACCTCGGACTCTCGTTCGTGATATTATTGGGAGTTTGATTTTCAAATCCATGTATGTCAGGGCCGCCGCTACCGGTACCTGCTTTGATTCAAAGTGCTCAACGTTTGAAAGCCAAGCATGGGCAAGACGACGCCGGAACGGTAAACCCGGTGCAATACTAAGAAAAATATGCGAAGGTGTAATCTATGTAGAATAGATTACGTGTACCTAATCCAGTAGAGAATCTCCTCTATCAATGTAGTGTAATGCAACCGAGATTGCATCCTGATATTGGGATCGAGCATTTCTCTCGAGGCAGTCAATGCACTCGCGTCGTGCAGCAATCGAGGACGCAATCATTTTCCGCGGGGCGTTCGTGGATCGAGTTCATGGGCCAGGCTTTCTTCGGATGGTGAGGCAGCTCCGGATTCCCAAAATCCAGGAAGGCTCAAGAGAGTGCTCGCCCTGCGTTCACCGTGCTGCAGCCAAAAGCAGAATTGGACGCAGCAGGTAAGCTTCCTTGTCCAGGTTACGGTTATACTCGAGTAATAGTTAAAGGCATGAACAATTACTCAAAAAAAATAAACGCAACTATACTTGTTAACACACCAAAAGCGGGCGGGCAGCTCAATTTCATACCGCTATGCGCACTTTCTAGCGGTGAGAGTTCCGGACGACATCTACTGGCGGGGACTGATCCCCACCGTCTAGCACGTAGGAAGAACCGACCTCCAAATAGCTTATTCGCAGTACTCGGACGAGTCCGTCACTGCGGTGCTGTCCGTCGTGTTGCTGGCCTGCGTCGTCGAGTCATCCGTGGCACCGCTGGCTTCGGTAGTCTCGGGAGTGGCTTCACTGCTCGCAGCAGTATCGGCACCACTAGCTGCTGTGCTGGCGGCGGCGCCACTAGTTGCAGTGGAGGCAGACGCACAGGTGGTGCCGTCTGTGTTGGGCTCCGTCAGCGTGTAGTCCGGGTCACCCGACTTCCAGGTGCAGCACGGGTCACCCAGGGCCTCACCGCAAGTGACTGAGCCACCAGGCCACGTCTGTGAGCAAACCTTGGACCACTCGGTGCCCTCGTCCGAGAAGAGCGTGCCGAAATCTGTGTAACCCGAGTCCGTGTGGCCAAGCTTCTTGCCGATGTTCTCTCCGTTCGGGATGAGCTCCATGTAGCTGGAGTAGGCGAAAGCCGTCTGCACGAAGGCGGCCGCGACGACGGTGATCTGAATGGTGGGCAGCATGATGATGTTTTCTAGCTTTACGAACTCGAAGACTGGAGTCGAACTG